TAAATGATCAAATGTAAAATATTATGAAATGGGTGGTACATTTTTCAAATTACTTTTCTTTTCTTAATTATTTTGTTGCCCATTTTGATTTAATCAATTATCTCGTTTCCTTTACTTCCATTTTCTTGTATTTTCTTCAAATTATCACATCCTTAATTTCTTGTTTTTATAAAGGCCATAATATACTTTTCCATAATTATACAGATTAAAATAAATCATAACTGTTTAATAAAAAATATTAAAAAAAACATGATCACACAATAGCCTGATTAGGACTTGTTTTAATATAGCTTTGAAAAAAAGGACTTATTCAAATATAAAATCAAGACAAAATATTCATTTGATTTAGCTTATACTATTTAGTTAATATTTATTTCAAAAACAACCAATATGGATCAATTTTAGTTAAAATGAGACAGATTATCCCGCAATCAGCTACACTGTAATTTAACTACATATAATCTGAAATTATGTAAAGAATTCACACATTTCATTATTTTGTTGATTTTAAGAAGGCTGTAAAATTTCCCATAATCCATCTATAAATATATATTGAAATAATTCTTTGTTCATTTTTATTTCTGTTCTTAGAATGTTCTTGAGAAAAAGAAAAAAAGTAAAAAAGAAAAAAAGAAAAAAAATAAATTATATATATATATATATAGATGGATAGATGGATGACTTTATTTTTCCTAAATAGCCTGGATAACTTTTAAGACTCTCAAACTAAACTGTGACTTATGCGAAAACAAAACCCAACAATTAAAATCAATTGATAAAAACTAATTTAGTAAAATCAAGATTAAAGATTCATTCAATTTAAAAATATATTCTTGATACTAAATAAATATCTAAAATCAATTCCAAAACAAGTTTAGTAATAATTTATATAAATAATCTGAACTGCGTATTGAAAGGCAATCATTCTCATTCTAAGTTTTTCTCCACACTGAAAGAAACCTCGTATCATGGATGAGTCCAACACTGGTGTTTGTACCCATTTAACATTGGGTATGTGTCCTTGTTCTGCAACCACGACGCATGTTTTTGGTTCTTCTTCTTCCACCAAGAAGAGGAAGCTTTGCAAAAGAGCCCATGTTTCTAAAAGAAAGAAAACAACAACATGCAATGATGATGATGATGAGATATGGAAAATTAAAAAGGTGCTGAAAGAAAGTGATGTTGGTAACATGAGCAGATTGATGATGGGAAGAGATATGGCAGAAGACTTTGTTCTGCCAATGTTGGATGTTGATGCTGAAGAAATTAACAAAGGAATTGCTGTCAGTATTTGGGATGTGGACACACGCTCCATGCACTCTCTTGTTTTCAAGAGATGGGTTTCCTCAAGAAGCTATGTTTTCATTGGCAATTGGGGCAAAGATTTTGTTGCAAGAAGAGGCTTAAAGAAAGGAGATGAAATTGGCCTTCGCTGGAATCCATTCATCAATGCATTCAATTTCTCGGTTCTTCATGTCAATTATTTAGGATAGAAACCGCATCACTAGAAAAAGCTTTCATGCGTCAGTATTTTTTTATTCTATTAAAATGTTGTGATATTTGAGAATTGTAACCATTCTTCCATTTATTATAAGCCTTCAAAATTTTGTTTTGATGGTCTTATGAATAGACATATGTATTGTGTTGTTTGAATAGTCTACAGCCCCTCCTTAGTACCTCCTAAGTACTTATGTATTGTGTTGTTTCAATTCAATCAAAATTTTCCTTTTAATCTTCGAATCAGTGTACTATCATACCTTAGGTGTTAAAAAAAAAAGTTATAGATGAGAGTTACTGATATGTATATACTATGCATGTCTGTAGTATTGAGAATGATACATCATATATTTCGTTATTTTCCTATATCATAGTGTTGGTTGAACAGAAATACAGGAAATGGAGAAGTGGAGTTTTTAAAACCATTTTCTTGTTTATTTAAATTTTTAGGAGGGAAGAGAACGGAAGAGGGCAAAATGCCTCATTATCAAAATTTAGCTTTTTTTTCAATATTTTGCATTGGAGAATTGTTTTTGAAAAAAAAATATATATAATGTTCAAAATATTTTTCTGTATGTTTTATATTTAAAGTTATAAGATATATGCAAAGGGAAATTGGTTTTGAAAATCTATTCCCTCTTCTTGCAAATCAAACAAACGAAAAACGAGTTATCTCTAATTTATCTTACCCTTCCCAAGAGAGAGGGGGAGTTAAAAAATTTGTTACATTGAGTAGAGGGGAGGGAAAGCAACTCTTTTTTGCTTTGTTCACGAGTGGAGGGAATTTACAAATTTTAAAAATTTAATATTGTATCATTATAATTTTAAATGTAATAATATAAAGAAGAATGTTTTAGATATATGTATTGTGTTGTTTGAATAGTCTACAACCCTTCCTTAATACTTATGTATTGTGTTGTTTGAATTCAATAAAAATTTTCTTTTAATTTCTGAATCAGTGTTCTATATCATATATGCTATAAGTTTACTCATGTCAGATAATGGTCGAGTAAGCAAGTTGCCATCTAACCACCTAAGTAAAACAGAATGAATTACAAAAGAAACCTTATTAAAGAAAAACTAAAAGCATTTTTATTCTGAAGATCAATGTACTTACATTACATCCCTGTCAATGCTTCAATGTTGCTAAGCTCAGGTGGGATTTCACCCTTCACATTCCTTCCCGAAAGAGTTATAATACAAAAAATTACAAAATAGTAAAAATTTATTCAGCTTTAAATTTCGGTGAATGGTTAGCATAGCAAAATGCTTTCTGAACTTTTGAAATGTTTGATCATGATTTTCATCATGATGCAGCCTATTTTATTCCAAACATAAACAAATAATGCAGAAGCATTTTCCATTCTATAATTCCAAATTGAAACTACATATCATTGTATATTTCCTGTATGGACAAGAGACATGAAAGTAACCTTGTCTCTCAGGCAACATGCTAGGAAACTAGAAAATTATACTTAACAATTATCTGAACTCACACAAAATGATGACGTATATATTGATATGAAAGATAATGGAAAATGCATATAATGCCCAGAGCCTATGGCTCCTCATAGAAAAGTTCTCTGTCCAGTGTCCATCACTAAGGGTCCAACTAATTAAAATCCTCCCTCTTTTATTTAATTTCCCTTAAATGACTACCCAAAACCCTGAATATTCCCACAATCCATTCCCTCTGACAGACGTAACAAACTCCCACTTCATCCCCTATGTTTAATATTTTCTCCTTTCCTTTTCTCTCCTTCCTCATATAGTATAAACCCTCCACACTTTGGGCCTATTAGTTTCCTAGTATAAACCCACCGTGTCTGACCTCAGTTTTAACTTTATATTTAAGTTCAGTCTATTATCAAATAAAAAATATTTAATTGATGTGACATTTTTTTTATAATTCACTTACTGTTTAATATCTTTTTGTTATAAATCTTCTATAAAATATAGTAAAAAAAAAGTTATAATTTTTCATATAGAAATATTTAATTAATATATATTAAATTTAATGACAGAATATTTATTATGAATTTTAGACTAAACATATAATTTAGTTCTTAAACATGTCACAATTTCTTTTATTGGTCCTTATCATTGTTTCATTAATTCAATTCAACATATAATATGTTTTTATGATTATTCATCAATTTGAATTAATAAAAAAATATCAAATAATTTTCAAATTTTTTAAAAATTTACAAACTTGATCTATGTATTAAAAACATTAAATTCAATGGTTGAATCGTTGAAATTTAATATAGAACATGAGTTATTGAACATAATAAGTTTAGGTAGAAAATAGATCTCTCTCTCTATATATATATATAAACATGAGTAGATCATATAAAAAAAATCTATAGATAAACATAATTTATAATATAAAAGATTAAATTCTTCAATATCTTAAAAAAATTAAGTAAATGTTCAATTATAAAAAATTATAATACCTAAGCATAACTATATAACATCACACTTTCATTGTTATATATTACACTTCAACTTTGGTTCATCATGAGAAAAAATAAAAACTTTAAGAATGTCAACCCATATTCAAATGATTCCCCTTCATTTCTACCAATATCTCACATTTTGTCTTACCCTCTTTATAACTTTAACTTTTTCTAGAGAGGAGACTGAGATTTATATGTATGAAAACTAGACCTTCAATCATTGATGAGTCATATCATGTCACTCCTGGGTAAGAATTGAGTTTTGGAAGCAAATAGAATTAATGGAAAACTTTTTTTTTTTCTTTTTGTTGAAACAGTTTTTATTTATTTGACTTGGGTATGATAATACGTACCCAACTTGTTTTGTTTTTTTTTTTTGAAAAATATTTTGGATGTGTACCTAGTACGTATTCACGAGCACCTAACATGTATCAAACTATCAGGTATGGGTAAGTATCCGGTACATTCAAGACATGAATTTTGGAATATCCATCCTTCAGAGTGCACCACACTTGTAACTTGTAAGGGCCAAATTAAACATGCATAAGGAAGTTTACGGTCGACATATGACATTAGAAACCAAATGAAAAATGTTTGCACGTGTAGGG